TCGTCACTGTCTCGCGTACCTACGTACCGGCGTCGAAAGCCAAGGCTAGGCTGTGGGAAGCTTGCTTACTTTTCTCTGCATTTGCATCTTTAGCGGTATGTTCTAACTAATTTTCAGCATCAACAACATGTTTCTTTACTATTTCCTGCAGCCTTGCTTGTTTCCTGTTTGTATTTAATCAAGTTCCATTGTTAAGCATGCTGCAATATGCCCTTTTTATTCTGAATTAATGCTTTCTTATAAATTCTATCAGTCACTTATTATGGCTTATGAATCCTAAACCCCCAAAGTGTTTGGTATCTGTGGTTGGTTTGGGGCATGACAGCATTGGACATTGTTGTGCATGACCCAAACCTGATCCCCCTGGGATCATAACCTCCATGTCCCCTCTATATGTTGTGTGTTCTGATTGGTTTATAGGCATGCCATCACCTTCTATTGCTGTGCATGCCCAAATCTGATCCCTGCCTAAGGGTATATGCTCTTTGCAATATATTCCCAAACCCCTGACCCCTTTGTATGAAATTATGAACTCTGTGCTTTACTATTACTGTTTTCCCATCATCCCTTACCCCTTCCTTTCTCCCCTCAGTTTTTAAATCTTTATTCCTGCACTTCCATCATATTCTTAGACTTAAGTTCTGCCCCTCTTGTGTGAGCCTTGCCTTGGGATCCATGAGCTCCCTCTAAACTTGGACACATAAGGGCTGGCCCTTCCACACTACACTCATCTCTATCTGGTTCTATGAACCTGGGTGTAAGCACTCTTAGGGAACTATGACACACCCAGGTCTGAGACAGGCTTTGAAACAAGTGGTATTTCCACAACTCAAAGAGGAAGTTAGAATCAGGCTTCCTATGGTTGTATTTTCCTATTTTTTTATTTTTCTTGATGTAATTCAGCAACTGGTCTGTAATAATTTGTAATAAACACTCGGGGTTGGCTAGTGGAAATGGGATGGGTAATTATGCATGCTCAAGGGTAGAAAACATGCCCATAGGATTTGTATTCTGAATGATTCAACTCTGCATTTAGAAAGCATGCCTATAAGACTGGTTTAAATCCTACGTGTTCAATTCTGCATTTAGACACCATGTCTATAGGATTCATTTCAAATTCTGCATGTTCAACTTTACACCTAGATAACCTGCCTATAGGACTTGTTTGAAATTCTGCACGTTTGTTACCACTTAGGCAATGCTCTAGGATCTAAACGGCTATAAGCAGATATCATGTTCATAATGTTAAAATCAGTATTTTATAAAGATCATGCCTATAGGAATTCCCAAGTAAAATCCTGCTTGTTTCCATTTCGCGTAGATATCATGTCCATATGAATTAAAGTCAGCAATAATGGATATCATCGCCTATAAAATCTGAAACCAATTTAGCTTGTAATCAGCTTAACTCATACTGTTCTGAACCAGTTTTAAACAACTTACCCTCCTTTTATTAACACGGTTTAGCAAGCATGCCTATAGGATCTCGAATCGCTCGTTTTAAATTTGCTACTGCTTTGCCACACTCTGAATCAGTAATAGATACTNGATTAGCTAAATCCGCACTGTAATTAACTAGGGACTGTTGAACGATATTATGATCCATTTGTTTTATTTTAATTCTGGTAGTATGGATTAGCTTTGTAAGTCACATTAGTTGAAATATAAACTTGAGTTTGAGGCTTATCCAGCTTATCTGATGTCCATTGTGTGTAAAGCTGCTATCATTTCGAAAGTTTGATATCCTGTTGCAGAAACAAAGTGTTAATTTGAATTTTTACAGGAACAGGATAAGAATTACATGATTACTGTACATATATCACTGTTATTTGTCTTAGCTTATATCATTTTTTTAGTTTTAAAAGGTGTATATCACATGTGTTTTCTTACCGCCTGGACCATTAGGATTGTTTAGTTTAAGTCTGCTGAGCTCGGACTTGTAGAAACTGAGTCTTGAAGCCCAGTTGGAATGGTTGCCACCTTATGATATATCCTTGGGCCTGGCTTCAAATTGGAGCCCATTTTACATTTGAATGTTGTAT